CCGGGATCCCACCAGCGTGGCAGGAAGACTGTGAGGCAGTTCCACACTTGAACAGAGCTCCGCAGCCCCTCAGGAAGAAGCAAAGATGGCACACAGAGCCAGGTATTTGAGCAAAAGGAGGGGGAAGTGGTGAGAGGTAAGGAAGAAATCAAAAGAAGCAGAAAAAAGCAACACCAGCAGCCAACAGATGGCACTCGGAGTTGGCCAGTGCGGGCAGGTGGCATCCAAGTAGCTGGTGCTTCCCAGCCAATAGACTGTGGCCGTGGGAAGCAGAGGAGGCCGAGTGGTGTGAAGAAGTGTGGGGGATAGGAAAGCATATATTGCCAGTTAACAGTTGTTGTGTCTCCTGCTGGAAGCTCCGTGAAGCTGCTTTCTCGTACCCCCTATTCGCTGGTCTCTGATAAGAATCCAACATGGTGGATCTGTGCTGCATTTGCTGATAGGGGACCTCTGCATGTATGTCTCCTCGCTCTCTGTTCTCTGTCAGTTTCTTATTCCATTTGGTGCTTGGCTGAGTTCTTTATCTCTTCATTCGATGTTTAGGATTTCACGATTGCTGTTTTCTCTGTTTGGGTTAGTTTTTCAGATCTTTGCTGTGGGGGGACGCCGTGGTGCTTCTGTCTAGAGCGCTATGTTGCCAGAAGATGTCTTTATATTTAATTGCATTTCTTGTACTATTTGAATTATGATTTTTCAAAATATTTTATTTTACCTCTGCTGTTGGTTTAGCTCTACACCTCTCTAAACAGTCTACCCTCAAATAATATTATCTAAAAGCTTTGCAACACTTTATTTGCATTTCCGTCTACACTTTTTTTTGCTGTTTTTTAATATATTTTACTTCTACATATGTTATAAACACAATATATTGTTATTATTTTTGTTATAAGAGGCATTTATCTTTTAAAGAAATTAAATAATGAGAAAGAAATTTGTTTTATATTTAGTCACATGTTGTTGTTGTAGGTGCCATTGAGGCAGTTCTGACTCATAGTTATTCTATGTACAACAGAACGAAGTGCATTTCTGCTGTTAACCAGTTCTTTGAGTGTTGCTTGTTTGAAAAGTCTTTATTTTACTTTCATTTTTAAAATTATTTTTGTATGATATGGTATTCTAGGTTGATTTTTTTCTTGTAGCTTTTTAAAGCTCTTGTACTACTGTCTTCTGTCTTGCATATTTTGTGATGAGAAGGCTGTAGTAAATCTTTTCTTTGTTTCTCTATATAGATCTTTTTTTCCTCTGGCTGCCTTTAATGTGTTCTCTTTATGCTTTGTGTTCAGGAATATGATAATAATATGTTTGGAGTACTTTACTTTGTGTTTATTCTGTTTTTAGTTTGTAGAACTTTTTGGTTCTGGGCATTTGTAGTTTTTATCAAATTTGGAAAATTTTGGCAAAAATATATTCAAATATTTTTTATTTCCCTGTCTATTGAGATGTTAGGTTAATTGTTATGACCACAGGTTTCTGAGGCTTTATTGATATTTTTTTCCTTTGTTTCAGTTTGTGTAGTTTCTATTGCTTTTTGTCTTAGTTTGCCTAGTGGTACCCTAACACAAATCCCTTAAGTGGGTGGCTTTAAAAAATAGGAATTTATTTTCCCATCTTTGGAGACGAGGAATCTGAATTCAGGACGTTGGCAGGGCAATGCTCTGTCAGCTCTAGGAGAAGATCATTCCTAGTATCTTTTGGCTTCTGGCAGTTCTGATCTGTCCTCTAGGTTGCTGTGAGTTGGAATCGACTTGAAGGCAATGGGTCTCAGCTTCTGGCAACCCCAGGCATTTCTTGATGTTCCCTGGCTTGTAGATGGAGCCTCACTTGGGAGTGAGTCTTTCGATGTCTATTTTCCATTTTTATAAGATACCACTCAGAGGGATTAGGTATAGGACCCACCCCACTTTGGTATGATTTTATTAACATAACAAAAGAAAAACCCTATTTCCAAACAGGGTCACATTCAAGGTATAGGGTTTAGGACTTCAATATAACTTTTTAGGGAGCACAGTTCGGTCCACAACACGATGTTTTCAGCTTTGCTAATCTGCAGTTTTCTAATTTTTTATTAATTCTATACAGAAATTTTAATTTCATATATTATATTTTTCAATTTCTGGAAGTTCCAATTGAGATCTTTTTATAATTTCTGTTTCTTCCTTCTTTTTTTTCATGTTTTCCTTTAAACCATATTAACCACATTTATAATATCTATTTTAAAATTCTTGTCTGTTAATTCTGTATGTCTGTTGTAATTTCTGGGTCTCTTTCTATTGACTGTTTTTTCCCTGCTTATCATTCACATGTGTCTTTTTTGCATGTCTAGTAAGTACTGATTGGGTGGTTTCCATTGTGACTATATTTTTGTGTGCTGGATTTTGTTTAGTTTTTTTGAATAGTGTCAGACTTTGTTATTGCAGGGAGTTGTGGATCAAACTGATTCTTTCAAAGCTTGTTTTTAAGTTATTTTTTATGGCAAGCCTAGTGTAGTCTATATTTTAATGCTAATTGGGTACAATAATCAAGATGTGGCTTTCTGAGATCACTACTAGTCTTAGTTATCTAGTGCTGCTATAATAGAAATATGACAAATGGATGGCTTTAACAAAGAGAAATGTATTCTCTCACGGTCTAGGAGGCTAGAAGTCTGAATTCAGGGTGCCAGCTTCAGGGGAAGGCTTTCTCTCCGTCAGCTCTGGGAAAAGGTCCTTGTCATCAATCTTCCCCTGGTCTAGAAGCTTCTCAGTGCAGGGACCCTGGGTCCAAAGGACATGGGCTCCTCTCTCTTCTTGCTCAGTGGCAATGAAGTTCGCCTGTCTCTCTGCTCTCATCTCTCTTTTATATCTCAAGAGATTGACTCAAGATACAACCTGATCTTGTAGATTGAGTCCTGCCTCATTAACATAACTACCTCTAATTCTGCCTCATTAACATCATAGAGGTTGGATTTACAACACATAGGAAAATCACATCAGATGACAAAATGGTGGACAGTCACAGAATACTGGGAATCACAGCCTCGACAAATTGACATACTTCTTTGGGGGACACAGTTCAATCCATAACACTACTAAATGCCCCATGCATTCAGTGAGGTGTCCTCACTCTGGCTCCTGGGAATTTGAATGTTCCCTAGACTTATGTGTGCTGTAGGGAAATGTTTAGCTTATAATACTTCAATAATTGCTCTTCCCTAGCCGTTGTTGTTTGCTTCCTCTTGTAGAGTTTAACACTCTGCCTTCATAAATTAGTACTAAGCCAAAGACTCAGGGGCCACTATATGCATAGTTTTGAAACTCTTTCTATGGACACTACCCTCCTTGCTACTCTGTGTTCCAAATTCTCTGACCTTGGTCCCAGTCTCTGACGTGGTCTTTTTGGGTTTTCCCTCTCTGTGTTGTTCTCTGGAAAATTACTCTAGGCAGAATCCAGAGAATTTGTAGGGATTCCCTTATTTGTTGTCTTTCTCTAAGGTAACCATCCAGCACTGTCTGTCATGCAGTATCTGAAAGTAGTTGTTTCATATATTTTAAACATTTTTCTAGTTGTTTGTAGTGGCAGTAGTCCCACAGGAGTTACTTCTTCATGGGCTGAAGCACAAGTTTCAATTATTTTTAATATTTAGTGTTTATGGACTGTCTCTACTTGGCAGATCTCTTTCTAACAGAAGTTAAGGGCAGTGTCCTGATCCTTACATTCAGATGTAACAATAATGTTTAAACATGAAATGATAGAACTCTTTCATATACTAATAGATATCCATTACCCTCTGTTTCCACAGTGTTTAACTCTGTAATAACTGTTATCTTGTTGTATTCTAATTAATTGTCTGCAGTATTTCTTCTCTAGAGTGTAGGATCTTTAGGTCTTCAAGGTCTTTTCATATTATGTTCATAGAGCCAGACTGATGTTTTGACTTGGTACTGTAAAGATAATGACAAAAAGAACCATACACAAATTCTGAAATCTTGTTAGTAAATTTGTTTCTTGGAGGAATATTAGTGCAGCTGTTCTGAAATTAGTTTATATGTATACTTAAAAAAAAAAAAAAGTTGCCATCGAGTTGATTCTGACTCATGGTGACTCCATATGTGTAGAATACAACTGTTTTACATAGGATTTGCAATGGCAAATTTTTTGGAAGTAGATCACCAGGCCTTCTTTCAAGGTGCTTTGGGTGGACTTGAGCCACCAACCTTTTGGTTAGCAGCCAAGCATGTTAACCATTCATACTCCCCAGGAACTCCATGTGTATACAACGATTCAACAAATAAGTAAATATGTTGAAGATAATGAATAACAGACTTTTCACTGTAGGAGAAAGAATTGCAGGTCAGGAAAGAGGATAGGCTAAAATATACCCTGCACCCTGTGCTGTTGGGAAGTATCAGTATGAACTCATGTTTTTAAGTATATACATAGATAGATAGGTACAGAAATAAAAAGGTGTATGTGCATATGTATGTATGTGTGGGTTACTACCCGTAGATATATTTTCTAGCTCTTTTTTGTTTTTTGTTTTTGAGCAGTTCTGCTCTGTCCTGCAGGATTGCTATGAGTCCAGATCAACTCAACGGCAACGGGTTTGTTTTTTTTTTTTTTTGGTTACCTTTTCTGGGGCTCTTATGTATATGTATGTACACATATACATACATATATATGTACGTATACACAAAAAAAAATTTCAAGCAGCAGATTGTATTAATTTCCTTTTAAATTTTGTTTCACCCTCTTTATTTTCACTGGTTAGGACTGGCATCTATGCATACAATAATTCACTTACTGCTGTGAATTATAAAGGTAAGAAGCAAATACTTGTAAAATTAATGAAATACCTTTAAGGTTATATAGAAGAACACAATTGTGGAGTTTGAGCATTGTGTTCATTTCAAATCAGAATTATTTTTAAATATTGGTTTTTCTACCCCCTAAAATGTATGTCTTTACTTATTAATCCTTTACTCAAGATAATAACTGTTAACTATTTTCCTCTTTGCTTTAAGCTACTTCCGTGAGAGAAGAAATGTTACTACCTCAGCTGGAAAATTTGTGGCCCAGCAAAGTGAGTCTATGCATTTAAAGTCTTTATAAATCAGTCGGCACTCATTTGATAATACTAAATTTGTTAAAATTGTGATTGAGAAGACAGAACACCTGCAGAATAGGGAATAATGGAAATAACTGTCTGCCGGTGTTCATACCACTTCAGACACTTTTAAAAGTGAGTGAATAAAAGACAGTAGCATGTCCTTAGTCTCCTTGGAAATTTGCACATGCTTATGTAAAAAGACTTTCTGTACAAGCTTCATTTATCATTAGCCACAATCAAAAGGTATTTAACTAAATTAAAATGAGTTCTGGCAATCTGAGCTACAGGACAAAGATATATGGAAGGTAATTTTGCTATGGAAACAGGAAAGGCGTGGCATTATTGCTCAGGTAAATTACTCATTGACAGAGAGGCCTTTCTTTCGTTTTGAAAATTCTGCTGATACATTCAGGAACATTCTTCTTGACAAAAAGATGGCAAACACTTGGTTACTGAACCTTTACCAGAATTTTACAGTAGCAGAAAATGCAAGTTGTTCAGAATTTTCAAGGATGTTAGAAATTCTCTTGAAATAATTTATTTAAAGTTGTACTAGTAGCTCTGGTGTTAGAAGAATTACATTAAGTAGATTCTGGAATTTTGAACAATGAGCCCTGGTGGCACAGTGGTTAAGAGCTATGGCTGCTAACCAAAAGGGCTGTAGTTCGAAACCACTAACTGCTCCTTGGAAACCCTACGGGGCAGTTCTGCTCTGTCCTGTGGGGTTGCTGTGAGTCGGAATTGACTCAGAGGCAGCGGGTATAATATCTAGCTGCTGGGTTTTTATAAAGAAAGCTGTTATCTTTTTATAATTGCTTATTGAAATTTGTAATAGGATTAAGATTCTCTGCCAATTATACTATTATTTAGAAATTAACATTAAAATGGCACTACCACAGTTTCCATTATATGTGGAAAATGTGCTTGGTTATATTAATGTGGTATCTTAAAGGTTAGCAACGACATGTATGACACATAGCAGTTTAAGTAATGGTGATTCATACAGTATAACACTGTCACTAACCTAATGGTATATACAGTGAGTGCTACAGCCAAAAGATGAGGAGAGTTGATTTGGGGGTAAGAATTATGGGCTCAATTTTATATTCTCAAAGAACAAAACTTAAGATGTGGTATGGTATTGCTGTAAAATAAACACATGCTTTTTTTTTTTTAAACAATGTTTCACATTATTCACATCTTTCCATTCTCATCTTATTATTCCCCCAAAAGATTCAAATGAGGAGAATTCATCTTCCATTTTCCCTTATGGAGAGACTTTTCTCTTCCAGAGACTAGAAAATTCCAAGGTTAGTCCCATACATTTTAAATTTTTTACATATTCAATGCTTTGCTCTTCTGCCTTTGTATATCTCCTCGTTTTCTGGTATACTGTTTGAAGAATGCATTATATTGAGGAATGAAATTTCCAGTCAGTAAAATTTCTGTTTAATATAATCATGGTAATTCTATAATTTTATATGTCATGAAAACATGTTTTCAGTTTAAGTTCAAGAAATACAGAACTGTTTTTTTTTAAAGTTACCACAAGATAAAGTGATTTTAATAACAACAAAAGACAAAACATCAAAAACAAAAATAAACAAAAAAACCCTAGATTTTTTTTTTTTCTTACACCCAAATACAGACTTGTGAAGTGTTCTGACTTCCAACTATTTATATATCTTAATTATTTGGTTTATAACTCTGTCTTTCCTCTCTACTACTTGTGCCCTTTCATTATTTTATGTTTTGGAGATGATAAAAGAGAAGTTGGAAGACAGAAAGTAGGGAAGTAAAAGTAAAATGACTCTTATTATTGGTTAGCATCTTTTTTATTAGTTGAAATTATGGCTTGTTAATGATTTAAATAAATATTGAAAAAAGGCATTGAAAGGCTATTGTTTTATATAGTCTCCCTGATTGTATTGATTTTACTAAAAATCGATCTAAGCAATCAGACATCTGATTAATAAAAGTAATCCCAGTTATTGTGGATCCTCATAGAATATTGCTGCATAAATAAAACAAAACAGCAACAAAACCAATAAGTGTATTTATTTATTTTTATAGAAGAAATCTATAAAGAATGAATTTTGGACCCATGAAGAAGCACTTAAAGGGGAAGCAGCTACTGAAAGGTATATGGTCATTGATTGATCATGATTAATTTTTTCAAATAAAACACTAGACTGTTGACTTCTTGATCATATTACAATATTGTAATTCTGAGAAATAATGATATTTATATTTGTAGGATTAATTATTTTGTTTCCAAATATTTTGATAACAGCACCCATTGTAATGGTTGAATGTAAGGAGTCAGTAAATCGATAATAGATTGATATTCTATAGCAGATTATTTTTGTCTTTTTGTCTGTAGTTCGAAACTACTAACTGCTCCTTGGAAACCCTATGGGGCAGTTCTGCTTTGTCCTGTGGGGTTGCTGTGAGACAGAATTGACTCGGAGGCAGCGGGTATAACATCTAGCTGTTGGGTTTTTATTAAAAAAAAGCTGTTATGTTTTTATAATTGCTTATTGAAATTTGTAATAGAATTAAGATTCTCTGCCATTTATACTATTCTCTTATTTAGAAATTAACATTAAAATGGCACTACCACAGTTTCCATTATATGTGGAAAAAGTTGCAAACAGTAGTGACCATGACTGCACATTAGAGATGAGAAGTTATGTTCATATATAGGAGAAAGGCACAATTTAATATGTTATTTTGTGAGGTGCAGAATTTTTACAATATAATGTATCCTTTTTATTAGAGGCTCAGCATTGACAAGAGGTTTGACAAATATTTAGTTATTTGGGCCACACATGAAATTAAACAGAATTTGTAGGCACGAATATAAATTTTATTTCTGTCTTGATTTTTCTTTTTCCCCTCAACTTTATTGGGACTTGGTATACTGGATCGTTACTTAATATTCATTTTATTTTCTACTTATCCTTCAATTTTCCTAGGCTAACGTTTAAGTTTACCCTTGTTAAGTAGGTTTTCTTAAGTTGAAACTAATTGCTTATCTTTAGTAAGCATTTGATATGAATCTATTATAAAGTGTAGAAGGCTAAATTTATCTGTAAGGGAGAAATGCTCTTTAGAACACTATATCCAGGAGGATATTATTTGACTTCTAGTTATGTTTATTTCATTGGTTAGCAAAAACTTCATCGTAGTGGGTTTTATTATACATAAACGACTGTGTGACTCTACTGTGTCATTTCTTAAATCTATAGGAATATACTTAGCTATAAAGAAGTGTTCCAGTAAATATTTTACATTATTGTATAGTGAACACTGACCCTGCCTTGTTTTCTGTTAGCAATGTGTTACAGTTTTTTCCTTCGTTAGTATTGCATAATAATACTGAAACTCTTAGCAGTCAGACATATTCTCTGTTTTCTTGTATGATTGTGGAATGTGGAGTTCTTAGAGTTGATTAGAGGAAAGCTTGAGGGGGAAACAAGTTGGAAATAATTAAAACACACACACAGGTTTTCGTTAGTTGTTTCCTACTCATGGTGACCCTGTGTGTGTCAGAATAGAACTGTGCTCGATAGGGATTTTGATGGCTGATTTTTTAAAGAAAGGCTAGGCCTGTCTTCCAAGGCACCTCTGGGTAGACTTAAACTTCCAACCTTTTGGTTAGTAGCCAAGTGTGTTAACTGTTTACACTAGGCAAGGAGTCCTAAGTTGGAAATAAGATCTCCAAATAGATGAGTTAGTGGTTCATAATATGGTACAGAGAGTAGGTTGGGCTGACCACTTAATGGTGCTGTTGAAGATGTTTAAATTGTAATGCAAAGAATATGGTCAGTCTTTATCCTTACCATCTGCACCCAGTCCTGCAAAATGAAGGGGACCAGATTTAAATTGTATATAGAGAAAAACTTGCTAGTAGTGTCCAAATATGTCCTAGGATAATGAAGATTTCCATTTAATTTTCTGGATGAATTTAAAAAATTGTCATTTGTGCTTATTGAACTCTTAAGATTTTCCTGATCTTAGTTTTTGTGATTTGTCATTTATAAATACAAGTAAATTATTTAAATTACATATAGCACTTTGAGATGTTAACACCTCGCCTTTTTGTTTAGAATATATGATAACAGGACAGAGAAAACAAGTGAAGACAAAGTGGAAGATATTTGGATACCTCGAGAAGACAAAAATAATGTTCCAGTAGACTCTGCTTCTGAATCAGAATACTCAACAGTAGAAGAATGTTTTCATAGTTTAAGAAGAAAAACTTCAAAGGCATCTAAATCTAGGACTCAAAAACTATCAAATTTGGACACTCTTACTAGGCGCAATTATCCATGTAGCTCACTAAGTGGAAATGCTGATTCATCAACCATGGCCTCATGTGCAATATCACCTTATGCCTGTTTTTATGGATCACCTGCAGTGAAGGTTAAATCTGGGTGGCTGGACAAACTCTCTCCTCAGGGGTATGTATTTATTCTTTCATTTCCTAAGTAACATATTTTTTAAAAAATTCGAGTTTATCATTTCTAAATCTGCTAGGATATGTCTTCCCTTTACCACTGCCCCCTCCCCCCCCACCCCGACATAAAGCCACAGAATTAGGGGCTTTCAGTATACTTTTGCAGATGCCATTCTTTAGACATAAAGAGTGATGTGTAATATGCTGTATGGAACGCTGGGTTAAGATTCTGAATAGCAAATCAGAGCTGAAAGTCATGACTTTACATCTAGATCTTCAATGTTTGTTTCTAACTTTACACCAAAATGCACTATCCTGTGTCTCAATTTGTGACAAAGAAAAACAACACAGACTGTGTTCATATTACTGAGCTCACCTTACTTAGCTTTTGCTCATATCATGACAGTGTTCTCTTTGAGAATACAAAGCTTATTGTAGTTAGGAGAAAGTATGTCATTGTTAGATTTCGGTCATTACTGTTATTGATAATACTGTTTTGATTTTAGTATGTTGCATAGAAGGTCAGGGTCCCTTGAATGTCATACTTTTAAATCCTTTACCATTTCTGATTTTTGTGAAATAAATTCTGTCCCTTAAATATTTAACAGTACTGAGAAATCTTTGAGACGGATTATGTTTAATTAGAGTTATTTTCTGGCATCCTGATTTTCAGGTGTCTTTTTGAAATATTGAAATTTTCCTCATGAATTATTTAAATTATTTTATTTCTCAGGTTTAAGTTAACTTAAACTTTGGTGAGTTCCTACAATGTGCCGGCATTTTCTGCTATGCCCCTGAAAGTGTTCATGTTTAAAGTACCTTGCTTTGTTCTAAAATAAATTTTATTAGCAATAAAATGACCAGAAGAAGTCTCAGATGACTAGCAAAAGCAGGAATTAAATTTCCTAAGAAAGCAGAAAAAAAAAACAAAAAAAACAAACTTTTATGGTTACTAATTATATGGTTAATAAGTTATATGATTTGCATCCTTCTAGAAAATTAGATTTTGAGTAAACAGAAGCTGAGGATTTCTTAGTCTGCTGTGTACAGTATCTATTTTTATTAGCCATTAGTATTATCAAGAAATGCATATTCAGATATCGAAGGCACGAGTCTGCATTCAAATGCACACACTGATGGAATTAAACAGTGAGTTTGAATATTCCTAAATTTTTCATTTCTGTAAAATTTAAGGGTTTAGGGAGTTCCAGGTGCTCTTTCAAAGTATCAAAGATTTAGCCCACTCTGGGTACAGCGTCCCCAGGAGCTGTGGTTTCCTGTGTGGTCTCCAGTGGTATGTTGCTCTTTACAGGGTGGGTATGTTTATGCTTCAGGCACACTGAGAAAACTTCACCATTACTGACCCCCTCTGGGACAGTTAGAACATTCTCCTTCTTTCTTTATCAGAACTCTGAGTTTCCATCTTTTCTACTCTAAACCTGCCTAAGGTTAGATGTTGTAAGTTTTCTAGATTTATATTTTTTCATTTCAGGGGAAATAATCGAGTGTTCTTGTTTAAAAGGTTTTCTCCCGGACAGCAGGATAAATAGAGATGGGAAAGTAAACAAAGGAGCTTGTTATATCACCAAGACATTTTAAAGAAACTCTTCTATGTGATGATGTTGCTATGGATTGCAGGAAAAATTTTAACAGGCTGAGAAGCATGTGTTTATCAGTTCGGAAGTAGAAACTGAATTTTTCCTTTCCCCAGTTAGACTCAGTAGGCTGTTATGAGGGTGTTTAAGATACTTATTAATAAGACAAAGTGATGCCTACATGTTCTTTTTACAGAGGTTGTTAGGCTTTGTGAAACTCACATGGTCACATGTTCCTTTGGTGCAGATAGCAGGGACTCAGATGGCATTCTGAATTCCATAGAGTAGAGGTCAGCAAACTTTCTGAAAAAGGTCAGATAATAAATATTTTAGGCTTTACAGGCCATATGATCTTTGTAGCAACTACTCAACTCAGCAGTTGTAGCATGAAAGCGGCCATAGATATATGTAAACCAATGAGTGAGGCTGTGTTCCAATAAAACTTTATTTACAAATAGAGGTGGTGGACCAGATTTTGCCTATGGGCTATGGAGGGATAAACTAGATTAGATGGCTCATTGAAATCTCATCTCTATTAGCCTACTCCATCTCCCCTGAGCCCCAAATGGAAGATTATAAAAATCACAAACTAGGAAAATCACTGTCTGTTAAATATAGATGTATTTAAAAGCAGATGTCCTTCATGGGGCCTTTGCTCTTGCTGTTTTTTCTGTCTGGAATGCTCTTCCTCCAGAGAGCAGCATGGTTTAGGCCTCACCTCCTCAAATTTTTGCTGTAATGTTTCCTTTGCATTTGGGTACTGACCCCAAATTTACAATCGTAACCTTTCCCTCCTGCTGTCACTCTTTTAATTATTTTTCTCTGTAGTGCTCATGGAGCCCTGGTGGTGCAATGGTTAAGAGCTATTGTGAGCTACAGCTGCTAACCAAAAGATCAGCAGTTTGAATCCACCAGCCACTTCTTGGAAACCCTGTAGAGGAGTTCTAGTCTGTCCTATAGGGTCGCTATGAGTCAGGATCGACTCGACGGGATCAGGTTTTGGGGAGTCCTGGTGGCACAGTGGTTAAGAGGTTGGCTGCTAATCAAAAGGTCAGCAGTTTGAATCGACCAGCTGCTTCTTGGAAACCCTATGGGGCAGTTCTACTCTGTCCTTTAGGGTCTCTTTGAGTCAGAATCAAATCGACAGCAACAAGATTGGTTTTTGGTTGGAGTGCTCACATGTTAGATGATTTATTTCATGTATGCACCATCACTTTTGTTTACTGAGGTTTCCTCAGTAGTTAGAGTATTACCCAGCATATGGTAGCTGCTCTTCATATTTGTTGTTGAGAGAATTAGTAAGAAACTCAGCATCAGACATTATTTTTTTCTCTTAATTTTTCTAAAACAGCTAGTATTTTTACTTACAGGGACTTCGTAAGAAAAATTGCTGGACTCTGAACACCGTATTATCAAAAAAACCAAACCCATTGGCATCGAGTTGATTCCACTCATAGCAACCCTATAGGACACAATAGAACTGCTCTATAGGGTTTCCAAGGAGCAGCTGGTGGGTTCAAACTGCCAACGTTTTGGTTAGCAGCCAAGCTCATAACCGCTGTGCCACCAGGGCTCCAAACACTACATTAGTGGTTGAAAATCTGCAGGTGCCGTTGATAGTGCTGGTATGCATAACAGAACAGTGAATTCTCTGCTTTTTATAGTTTTTAAAAAAATTATTTTTTAACTTTTTCTTAGACATGATACATCAAAATAGTTTAAAAACAAAGGCCACATTCAGTTATCATTTTTCAAGTAGTGTTTGAAACTGTCCTCCATTAAAAGTAACATTAAAAAAGATTAAATTCATAATCTATATATTTCATATGGTTGAGTGTTTGCTTTTGAAATATAAACGCCAGTTTTGAACCAATGCACAGAATGTGAAAACTGCCCAATATATAGCAAGAAAATAATTGCATAATATCATGTAATTAAAGAAATACTGGAGCATTTCCAGTTGAGCTTAAAGTATGAAAAAAAATTTAAATATTTAAGTTGTATAATTACAATATAGTGTGAGACTGTCAGTTTAAAAAAAATTGAATGCAAGAAACTTGGTGAAATGCTGAACCTGGATTTGTTACCAGCGTTTCGAACATGTCAAAGCAGATTAAAAAAAAAAAAAAGGTACTTGTTTTTAAATAAATCTCCGATTTTTGATGATAAAACACCATGCCCCTCCCCTGTTTTTCCAGCCATAGCTAATAAGCTCAAGATTTTCAGCAAATCTGTGTAGAAATTTAACATACTGGATGTAACTTACTCCAGCATTTCCCAGATATACAACTCTGACAAGTAATTCTGCAAATTGCTGTAAGAATAAGAGAACATGGTTGAACGTGTTCAGGAAACACTGCCTCGTGCATCTCCACCAAGAAATGCACGTATTGACGTCTCCAAAAATATTGTGAAAAGGAAATCCATTTGACCTTTTTAGCTTATTGTTTTCTAAATATGTTAGTGTGTGGAGATCTCTTCATTTTGCATAATGCACAGAGCATACTTGTTAAATCTGTTATGTAATGTATTTGACACAGTTTTTTGAGACTTTTTTTTTTTTAACCACGGGGAAGTTTGATGTGGCAACGTGAGCCTGGGAGCAGAGGCTGAACATGAGAGGTTAACTCAGCAATTTGAGTATGCAGTATGCTTAAGAATTGATGCATAACTTTTCTTGTAGCTTCTGTTTAGGGCAGAAAAGAAACACATACAAATAAAAATAAAACCGGAAGATAGAGTATAATAACTGGTGCAGAAAGTAGCACAGAGAATACAGAATCATGAGAGCACAGATGGTTGAGAGAGCATTTCTTCTGGAGGAGAGGTAGCACTTGAATCAGCCTCTGGGAAATGGATAGGATTTGAACTGGCTTTTTTTTATGATATTATTTTCTGGCTGTAGGGAGTGAAAAGATACTGAGATTGGTGGTATCCAGATGGCTGAAGAGATGGATAACGGGTTGTGACCAAAATGGAGGTTGGAATTATTTTATTGAAGATAGGGCCCTAGAACCAGAAGGAAGAAACTGTTAGTGAATTGCGTGTTTGAGTTCAACAGATAAACAGGGAAAATTGAAAAAAAAAAGTGGTCAAATACCAAGAAAAGGTCAAATCCTACAGAACTGCTGTGAGTCACAGATGACCCAGAAGCCATATAGCCCACAACTTGGTGGAAGATCAGAGTTTACACTGTTCGTGGCTTAGTCAGTGACTGAATTCCTAGCCAGTGTCCAGAGCCTGCAAAGATGCTTTAGTAGACCACTACCCCTCCTGGGTACACAGGCTTGAAGGCATCAAGTCTTGTGCTATTGCTATTCTTTGGCTGGCCTTTCAGTCAGAGGCAAATGTAGTGGAAAGTGGACAAGTCTTTATCTGTTTATCAGTCATGTTGTTAAACTTAAAGTCA